TGTTGAAGAAGACTTGAAGTATCTTGAGGAAATCGAGCTTGGTAAGCTTTAATATTTTGTGTGTATTTTAATTCAAAATAATATATCATGCTTTTTCTTTTGTATGACATATTTGGTCGTATTATCTTTAGATATGGAAAATAATGGAAGCACTACTAGCATTGTTTGATGTATAGTTGCAACTTGCATCTTGAGTGGTAAGTTTAATACTCTATTTGTTTGGTGATAAATTAATGATATACTTAATATTTTGTAGTTTTGTTTTATTATCATCAAACTATAATATTCTAACTTATGATTTATAATTTTTTTATGTTCAAGTGCAATCATGCCCCGTGCTACTGCTCAACGCCCCGTGCTACTGCTCAAGAGTCAAGACTGTGTTTGTTGAGGGATGCCCTCTCTGTTTTTGTTGCACTATGTTTAACTGTTTAAGTGTTAAGACTATGAAGACTTGCAGTTGGCCAGTTGCAGTGTTGCATTGTGTTTAAGTGTTAATACTTAAGAGTTAAAACTGTTTTTTGTTGGACTGTGTTTAACACTTTAACTTGTTTAACTGTGTTTAAGTTGTTGGACTTGTTGGACTGTGTTAACTGTTAAGTGTTTAACTGTGTTTAAGTTGTTTAATATAGTTGTGTAATATGCATTGTGCAGTTGGCAGTTGTGCAATTGCAGATGTTATTCTGCAAACTGCAGATGCTATTCTGCAACTGCAGATGTTATTCTTGTGCAGTAATATAGTTGTGCAACTGCAGATGTTATTCTTGTTTCAGGCTTTCAGCCATGTGCAGTTGTGCACGTTCACGTTGTGGACCTGTGGTTGTGCAGTTGTTTTACAGTTTTAGAGTGAAAATTATAGTGTCAAATTAGAGTGAAAATTACAGTGTTGGTGTTTCAGGCTTTCAGCCATGTGCACGTAAGCACGTTCTTGTTAACTTATTATAGTGTTATATATCGAAAAACATTCTTTTAGAGTGAATTTCAAATTTTCAATTGTGATGTGCATGTCCACTGTTAGCAGTTAGCACTTAGCAAGTTAGCATTGATTGTTAAAAACCGAAACCGTACCGAACCAAAATAAGAAATACCGAACCGTACCGAAATAATTTGGTACGGTATTTGGTATACACAATCGATAAACCGAATACCGAAATACCGAACCAAAATTCTAAAAACCGAACCGAAATACCGAACGCCCACCCCTACTTTTCCCCCATGATCTTTTCCACGCTGCCATTCTTTTAGCTTTTCGAATTTTAGTTCGTAGTCTAGATCCAAAAGGTCCGCCGTTTTTTTTTTAGCTTTTTTAGAAAATAGGAATTGAAAACTTGGAGTAGGGTTTCTATAATTGGGTATTTTATATGGAAGTGTGAATGGATGATTGCCATTGGATTAGAAGGAAATAGATGGCTCGGATTAAATTTTGCACTTAAATAGGTTAATGGGTTGGGAAGAATGGGCTAAAGGTAATTGGGTTGAACCATGTCTTTTTTTGTGTTTCAATTTTGGGCTAAGAAGACTCCAAAAATTATTATTTAAAACCATAGCTAAATTTCCTTAATATAAGATAATTCTACTACATGATGCAAAACATTCTAATTAATTAAAACATGAAACTATTACATATTTTTGTATTTTTCAAGATTATATAAAGATAAAAATAAGGTACTACTTTTTTGTATTTTTTTTTTACTTTTTGAAATGTACATAAAATAAAATATTTTTTGTAATTTTTATCTTCTTGTAATAAAATAAAGTAAAAGAGTCAAATTAATTAAAATAGCTTTATTAGGCCTAAATTAAATATTTACATGCTAAAATATAAAAAATCTTGGGGAGGATCAAAAATCACATGTCTACAGCTGCTCCTCTTTGACTGGAAAGACGAAGTATTTTCAGACAAAGAACGACTAGACAGGTTTTTTGACCCGACCCTTATTTAAGGAGACCAAAACTAAGGGGAATGTGACCGAGCCCTGGTATCTGAGCTGCATACATATCCTTGGCTACAAAGGAATCAGGCCACGTGTAGTTCAGAAGTGAGTGAGATGATGGAGTATGCCGAGGTGGAGAGTAAGTCGAGGTGCCGTTCCGCCGAGGTTCCCGTCCACGGTCCCATTATTACATCAAAATCAAAAATAAAAAGAGACTAACTAATCCTATCAGCTACGAGTTACAAGATTCATATCTATGAGTCTTCTGAAGCTTGATCTTGAGTCTTGGTTGGTTCTTCATACGGACCCTGATATGAATCTTGATGCTTGTTAGCTGCAGGTGTTGGTTCAATCTTCTTCAGCTTTTCAAACCAAGACGGGACATGCAGAGCCAGTGACCTCAGCCCTGTCTTGAGCAGCTCACATCTTTCATTAACTTCTGCATTTGGATTCACTTCTTGTCTTTCTTTTTGTTTTTTTCTTTTTATTCTGGATTGTAACTAACTTCTGTTGATCATCTTGGACTGCTGACTCGCATTCTTGACGCGAGCTTCTTTTGTTGCTGACCTGAATTGCATTTTGAATTGAATTCCCCCCTTTTTCAGGTGGGCGCCTAATTATTGAACTTGAACCATCTTCTCTTGTTACTTGACACTGTTTTCCCTTGCACCTTGAACCATTTTCCCTTGAAACTTGAATTGTCTTCCTTCGAAACTGCTTTCCCTTGAAACTCGAGTTGTCTTCCTTCAACACTGCTTTCCCTAGAAACTTGAGTTGTCTTCCCTTATTCTCCAGGTGGGCGCCTGATTACAATAAAACAGACAAAACAAAAGAAAATTTTTCTGCCCCAGTTTGCACCAGGAAGATTTGTGAGTTGTTAGCAAAATTGTAAACCACTTGTACTATTGATGCAATGATGAGAGTAAACTAAAGAATAGACTAGGAAAACTATAAACTAAGCTTGACTAAAGTAAAAACTGACCATATTCTCCAGGTGGGGCCCCTAATTTCAAGAAAACTAGACATTGATACCTAAAAATTGACCCCTCTCTTTTTCAAATTCAGACTTCCCCCTTCTCTTTTTTTTTTTAAATTATTATCCTAGGAGAAGATTCGTCAGACTAGGTTTTCTATCTTAGGAGAAAGATTCATCAGACTAAGACGTTAATCCTAGGATAAAATTCATCAGACTAGGCCTTTTTCTGTTTTTTTTTTGTTTTTTTTGTATCTTAGGAGAAAGATTCATCCGACTAAGACGTTTATCCTAGGAGAAAATTCATCAGACTATCTCTTCTATCTTAAGAGAAAAAATTCGTCAGACTAAGATTTTGATCCTAGGAGAAAGTAATCAGACTAGGTCACTTTTTTTGTATCTCAGGAGAAAGATTCATCAGACTAAGATTTTGATCCTAGGAGAAGGTTCATCAGACTAGGTCTTCTATCTTAGGGGAAAAATTCGTCAGACTAAGATTTTGATCCTAGGAGCAAGTTCATCAAACTAGGTCACTTTTTTGTATCTCAGGAGAAAGATTCATCAGACTAAGATTTTGATCCTAGGAGAAGGTTTATCAGACGAGGTCTTCTATCTTAGGAAAAAAATTCGTCAGACTAAGATTTTGATCCTAGGAGAAAGTTCATCAGACTAGGTCTTCTATCTTAGGAGAAAAATTCATCAAACTAAGATTTTATTGGGAGGAAAATCCATCAGACTAGGACATATTACCCTAGGAGGAAAATGTAAAGAGCAATGACATGACTTTATGCATATTAACAAGACAAATAAAGGCAAAAATTTGAGGAACTTTCCTTCGTCTTCTCTTCTTTTCTTTGTCTTCCTTTTTTTTGCTTTCTTTTTTTTATTTTTTTTTAACCTCTTTCCTTGCACTGCTTTGTTCCTGTTTCAAACAAAGAAAATTTTGTCAGTTTTTTAAGTGATGGTCGGTTTGTGGCCTTGAGTCTTAGACAGCTTGACTTTTGCTCAATCATCTTGAGTCGGTTTCAAGAAACTTTTTCTCTGCATCAACCCTAATTGTTTCACACCCAGTACCATTTGTATTTATGGATCAATCAACCTTATCCCAACTAGAGATCTTTTCTTAGGCGACCTTTTCTGATATCTTGAATGACTTCCTGCTTTTGAGCAGTTTGTTTGTCAGAGAGAATCACCAGTTATCTTTGCTTGCGCCAAGTAGGCTGACAACAGTCTTTTGGGAGAGCCTTTGCATGAATCCTCAAGGCACGTTGACGGTAACAACTGAGTGTGCTGGCAAAATTTACTTTGTGCAACTGAAAAGCTGGTAGCAGATTTTGAAATCTTTTCATGCTTGTTTTGACAAGGACTGACTCAGAGTGAGGGACGCAATGATGCAAAGAAACAAGTATTAACAAGAAATGCCCCTGTCGGAAGGACAGAAGGAAGAATTTTTTTTCTTTTTTTTCAATAACTAGCCTTAATGATCATGACATGCATTTTGGACTTAACAGCCGATCTATCAAACTGACCAAATCTTCCCTTTTACCATTCTTGTGATCTTTGAAGTTGGGCCTAACTATGTCAATCCTTTCCATCAGCTTCACGACTCACTTTCGACTAATAGTGCCCCGAGAAATTTTCACCAACAAGCCTCTCTCATTTATTCATCTCTATTTACCATCGTCTTACTGTACCCGTGAGGGTTTTCACTAATAAGACTCTCTCATTTTTCTTTTTCTTTTTCTTTCCCTCTTTTTGTAAGCAACTCGACGATGTTCTACGTCGTATGACAACTGTTGCTCATCGCATGCGTCTTTTGGCATTCTTGAAGGCATATTGGGAAGTCTTTATTTGGAAGGTTTTTGGATAGGGTTGGAAAGAAAGGTCGGTATGAAGGCTCAAAATAAACTCAAAATGAGGGGTTGTAGACTTACAACTCTTGGAATCGACTCTTTCAAAAATGAAATAAAATCTTTGCCCCAGTTTCAGATGTTTTGGGGATTTTTGGATTTTTCTATTTTTTCTATTTTTTTTCTTTTTCTTCTAAATTCTTATTTGGTTGGACCGAACCGTGAGGCTGCCTACGTATCCTTATTTTTTAAGGAATCAGGTCGAACGCAGTTCAAACATTTGACCTAAACTATTTTTCATCTTTCTTTCTGTTTCTCTTTTTTATTTTTATTTTTTTTCTCTTTTTCCCTTTTCATTTTTTTTTCTTTTTTTTTGTTTGCCCCAGTTTCTATTTTTTAGGGCATGGACCTTTGATAGTTCTTTTCTTTTTTGTTTTTCACTT